AGTTTTGACCAAGGACGCTGAGGACTTGGGGGGGGGGGGGGGGGGGGGAGGGGGGGGGGAGGAGAGAAATGGAAGAGGAGAGCGGGTCTACCTCTTTCGAAGCTGAGAGGAGCCGAGGGCAGGGAAGGGGGGGGGGGGTTGTGGGTGTGGGAGGGGAGTGTTATGTTTCCAGTTTGAAAAGAATGAGGTAGGACGCGCAAGAGCGATGGGAAGCAACTCCGATGTTCCATGGGCGATTACTTCCATGAGGGGCCTTTAGCCTGCCAGATCCTTCCAAGAGGTTCCAAGAACGATCCAGGTCGACCAAGTCCCTCCAGTTTTCGAAGCTCTGCGGGCAAGCCGAGGTGAGCTCGGCCCGGGCTGGGCTTTGGGGGTTTTACGTGCTTCAACGTTTTATGACTATATATATATATATATATAGACATATTTATCTACTATTCTTGCTCTATTGTAGTAGCTGTTTTCACTTATTCATACGTTTTAGGGAAGGGGGGGGGGTTGTTTAGGGCATCAGGGTCTTAGGGTTCTTCGGGAAGTGGGAGGTTTGGTGAACCCTAGGCAAGCTAAGGGTATGTTTACGCAAGCACAGCTTTCTGATTTCTTGGCACTGGCTTCTCCGCAGAGCATGTCTTGACTATACACAGGCACGTGCAATTTTCACGATTGTAATTTGTGGCCTTTCGCAAGTTGGTAGTTACACACAGGAGCTTCAGGCATTTGCCGCAGAACAGGACTTGTAGGGACTATGGCTCATAGCGCTTGCTGAAGGGTTTGGAAGAAGGCCTTAATCGTCCTAAACCCCAAACCCTGCCACTGTGACCATCCATGTCCGTTCTCGCTTGCAGGCGATGCAAAGCACCGAGGTGCCCCCCACAGTGTGACGAGTTGCAGCAGCTTCTGCGGCACCCGAGTATGAGCACATTTCTCCGTCCCTGCCGCGGCGCTGTCTTCCCTGTTTGCCTTCTGAAGCCCTGTGCAAGGGTCAGTTGACGGTAGCCCAAACGACTTGTGCAGGGAGGTGAGCAGCTCCTCGCCAGCGAGGACCTTATCCCCCGCCGCCACCTGCACTTGGGGGGATTGTGTTTTGGGGGTTGAAGGTCTAAGAGTCTAGGGCTTAAGGGTTCGAGCTTGCCGAGGGGTCTTGTGTTCAATGAGTCGGGGGGTTTTTCAGCTGTTCAAACAATTTTGCATCATGGCAGAGCTCCGAAATTGCATTCAGTTCCTGAGTTCCGACATATGTGTGGAGCTTCGAGAAAATCGGGTTACGGGGCGCATCCTGCCTCTGAAGTCATGGCCTCTCAAGCCACATGAGGCAGCAATGCACGCCACAGATGATGATGATGGGGGTTCTGCCTTCATGACATATGAGTTGTTTGTCCAGCCAGTGCATATGACAGACAGCGACCATTGCCTAGCAGCTGGTGGAAAGCTCATTGGCGACACGGAACTTTAGCTACTCCGACTCTGATCATGCGCTACGGTCTGCGGTCGGGCCCCTAGTGACGGTGAGAAGGAACCAGAGTTTGCTGCACGTCGAGCGCTCTCGAAGTTGTGACAGAGGACAGTGCATTCTGTAGTCGCGGCAGACGAAAATAAGTTCGTCAGCCATCATCCTCATCATCAGCATCCTTGGCCCCGCAAACAAAGTCATCCTTAACATGCCGAGGCCCGGATGAGTGTGACCGCGAAGTGGCTCCAGCATGATTGGGTCCAGGATTCCAGTGCTTTCGGGAGTTCAATCGCCTTCAGCAGAAGCTGTTGCCTCTGAGGTTTTGTCCAGCGAACATTCGGCTTGCCATCCACTCTTCTCTGACCGCAAGAACTCGCATCCCCACCCAACAAATTGCACTTGCACTGTTGCGATCTGTCGGTGCCAGGAAGGGAGCCTGGGCCTCGGTCACTGGATTCAAGTAAGCAGACAGCAGACATGTCTCAATCCTGCTCAAGTCCTTTGTCCATTGCTTTTCAAGGCCTTGGGTGGTCCTGCGTTGGAAGAACGGGATGAGTTTCTGCTTGAAGCTCCGTCTCCATCTGGCCTCGGCCTTAGACCTCCTTGCCAGCCTGTTGTGGGAGCGTGTGTATGAGTGACTCAGCGGTTGTTTGTCTCTCCGTCTGTCTCTGTGTATCTGTGTGTATGTGTGAGAGAGAGTTCGTTTGCGTTTGCACGCGATTGTAACGTCCAGTTCCGAAAATGGGGGTTGACAGACGAGACGTGTGGTGTACCATACTTGACCGCAAGGAAGCTAGGGCACAGCTACGTTTGTCCTGATGGAGGGGAGCACCAGTTTCTCACTGTTGCGTGCCATAGTCCCTCAACCAGTGCCAGCACTTGTTGCTTTACGACCACAAAGTGCGTGGAGCTTGCGATGTCAGGGCTGATCAGCGTGACGTGCCTCCTACGTGAGGGTCCACGGCTGGTTTCTAGGGGTTCCATAGTCAATTCAGCGACAGGCCGGGGCTCCCTGTGCGTGAAAATCTCCGTTCTCCATTGAAAAAGCTTGAACATTTCGCAGAAACGAGGGGGGGGGGGGGAGGGGGGACGGGTCGTCCGGAAGAGCCAGTTGATTCTGCCCCACTTGACCCCACGCAAACGTCAAAACTAGCAGAATATGCCCCACCCGATGATCCCTCCAATAACTCCTTCTGCTGGTTGACAATCCTGAACCTCACAGTACGGATCAAGACTTCTGGCAGACACCAAAAAAGTGAGGCCAGCGGGGCAAGTGGGGCAAGTGAAGCAACTCGGGCAAGTGCCAAGCGTGGCAGGTCACAAGCAAGTGGCAAGCGGCAAGAGGGCCAAGTGGCAGAAAACAGTCAGTGGTGCGGTGTGGTGAAAATAATTTCATGGTCCCTGCTTGCACGCCAAATGCATGTGAAGCTGTGCACGAAGCCCTTCATCAACAGCACGGTGCAAAGCGGCAAGCAGATGTGTTGCCGCGTCCACAGGGAAGCAATCTCTCATTGTCAGTTGGTGCGCGAACAGTTCGAATAGGTTTCAGTGTGTCGATCGGTGCCTCATTTGTGTATCACTAGAGCGTGTTTCTCCGTAATAAAGATGGCGCTTGCTCTTACTGAGATGCACCGAAGCAATTGGGGATGGATAGTTTATGATTGGACAGGTGCTGCTGTGAATGCGAACCCTCTTCATGGAGCCATCAGTGCACTTCAGGCGCAAGGGAAAGTTTTGCTTATTTGCAGAAGCTTGCAAATGAGTCTTGCAGATGCGCCACGTCCCTTCAAGGCGTACTGAGTACTGTAGGATGACTTGGCGCTAAGGGTAGGGTTTCGACGATCATTCTCGCATAGCGGCGGGATACGATCAAGGCAATGCCAAAGCACCCAACTAAGCAGGCGCACCCCACCCAAACCTGCAAGAGTAGTGTCTCACCATAGCATTCCTTCTGAAATTGTGCTACCGTTCTTAGATTCTTGGCCATTGTGGCCAGCTCGCAGCATTCATTCCAAACATGCTCGCGCGACTGTCAAAATTCGAGGCGCTACTGAAGCAAACGCCGAAGGACGAGGCCTTGTGGACACAACATATGAACAATAGGACAAGGTTTTGTTCAGTTTTTCGGTCGTACACTTGCAAGCCTTCAAGATTCGGTCCCTTGGCCAGGGTCTTTAGCGAGACAAAGCAAACTAGAACGATGACCCTTGATTCATGAGCGGGTGCATCCTTCTGTTAGCTCTCAAGCTGAAACCCTCAATTTACGAGAATGGCCAGCGTTGTCCGTCCAAAGCGTTTTCCTCCATCTGAGTGTTGCTCCTGTGTCAACACGGAGTAGAAAGGGATCACCTTTAGGGACAGCCTTCTTATTTTAGTTCTGATCCGCAGGCTGCGGTGGATAGCCCAAAGAGGACTCCAAGAGACAAGAAAGATGGCAACGGCAAGTGGTTTGCAAGATTCTCCGATGCCTATTTGGCCAATCCAGAGCTCGAAGTTGATTTTCATGCGGAGGATAGACGCCCGCGGCACTCGGAATATTGATGCCACGGAGGTCTGCGGACTTAGTGGGTGGGAGTCCTCTTGGCCGACACTTCTGTGGGATCTGTGAGTTTTCCACATGCCTCCCCATCTTGACGTGGCCTTTGCACCGGGTGACTGCCGAGGCTTCTGCAGAAGAACTGTGGGACTCCCTGGCCTCTGGGAAGGCAGCTGGGCTGGGATGTTTCCTTCCATGTGATTCCATGCACTCTGTCCCGTTCAAGTTGCCATGATTGCCGCCAGGGCAGGGACACAAAGCCAAGCGGCATGCGGGCGCAGGCTCGAACTCGAGCCAAGCCAAACAAGTAGATGTACCGCCACTGCTATGCTCCTGCTCCTCTGGCCGTGCTACTGCTACTGCTCCTGTTCCTGCTCTGCTGCTGCACCTGCTTCTGGTACTGCTACTGCTACTGCTACTGCTACTGCTGCTGCACCTGCTTCTGGTACTCCTACTGCTACTGCTACTGCTACTGCTACTGCTACTGCTACTGCTACTGCTACTGCTACTGCTACTGCTACTACGACACCACCACTACTACTACTACTACTACTACTACTACTACTACTACTACTACTACTACTACTACTACTACTGCTACTACTGCTACTACTACAATAACTACTACAATTACTACTACATTACTACTACAGTTACTACTACTAGTACTACTACCATTACTACAACTACTACTGCTCCTGCTCCTTCTCCTGGCTGCTGCCGCTGCCGCTGCTGCTGCCGCTGCCGCTGCTGCTGCCGCTGCCGCTGCTGCAATTGCGGCTACAATTACCGCAACGGCTACAACTTCCAGTATTCGCCCGAAAATGTTCACGAACATGGACAGGGCTACGAAAGTGCCCCATGCGAAGAACCCTTCCCAAGCCCTCATGGGAGGTTGAAAGGCCAACGCTTCCGGAGGACACCTTTAAAAGAGTTGCGGTGAGGGCTGGTAGCACCCTGGCCGAGGGCTACCATAAGACATACAACATACATGATCATGTATGGCCGTGAGGCATGCGTGCGGTGTGCGCCTTTCATTTGGGCTGTGATGCGTCGGTCGACCCAAGTCCAGCCTCAGTTTCACACTGCCTGGTGGCTCTCGGATCCACGATGGCGGTCCCCAAAAACGTGGCAGACCTGATGGATGAGATAAACAAGCTGAGCACCCCCGACTTCGACTGCATCTGTGAGCAGATCGACAAAGCTCGTAAGGAGCGCAAGATGAACGTGATTATGGTGACCGTCAGCCAGCTCGATGGCACGCATCTACTCGGACCAGAGCTGATGCCAGCGTCCACTTCGGCAGGACAGCTTAGCAATCGTTTCTCGCGTGTGCAACCAAATGAAGTGATGGAGTTTGTGGTCGGCACAACATTCCTTCAGCCAACAGACACACTGGCCAGCCTGGGAGAGGAGTTCAAGGGTACGCTATACCTTGTCCGGCGTCCTGAGCGGATGAAGATTGAGCCACACCGACGAATGCGCGGATTATTCGTGGCTAGCCTGACTCTTGGTACTTCCGACATTCTCGTTGTTCCAGGAGGAGCTTGCTTTGCTCATGAGACCGTCTATCAGCCTGGGCTAGACCAGGGCAGGGCCGAGCTGGAAGAGCTGCAGGTGCCAGAGGTGACCTTCCGTTCTTGGAACCCGTTCTGTTCTTACATCGCGGCAGCAATCGTTAATGGAATTAGCGCAGCTCCAAAATGGAAGGATGCGCGCGTGTTGGCTGTTGGCCTGCCCGCTCTTGAGCTGACTTACCTGTCAGACTTGGTGGGTAAGGGCGGTGCTGTTGTACGCACACGATCAGAGCCCCTCGAAGCTGGAGCAGTCGGCAAGCTGAGGCAACACTGGCCGAACGTGCAAGAACTGGTTGACCTCCCTGATGACATAGGCAGATTTCATGCCCTGCTGATCCACGGAGATGTAGAGGCTAGCCAGCCGGTACTGGATAATGTCAAGACGCTCCTCTTTCCAGGTGCAGTGGTGATGTGGTCTAGAGAGATTGCTCCTGGTCCTGGTAGTAAATACCCTGAGGAGGAGTTTGCTCGAACTGTTCAAAGCATGAAGCAGGCTGGCCTAAGACCAAAAGAGCAGGTGACGCTGGAGCCTTTCTTTCACGGCTCTGCTCTGATTGTGTCGGGGACTGGCAAAGACTGGCCGGCGTAAGCACCGGGTCAGGGACCTGGTTCCCTGTGACCCTACGTCACCATGTAAAGTGCGGAGGCAACGTGTAGATCCTTTGTGAGGCCGAGAGCGCGATCTTCTGGAAAGTCTCATCTGGCGGAGGGTTGGACTTCTGCATCGGAACAGCTGAACCCGTTGCCAGGTCGTCCAAGCCCAGCAGGCAGGCGGCTTCATGCTGATAGTTGTTAATGAGCCATCCTGCTTTCCCTTGCCTCTCCAACAGAACAGTAGCCGATTTCATGTTTTTCGTTGCCCGCTGTGGTCGCATTCTTACGATTCCTTGAAGAACGGATGCGATCCTGAGAGAACACTCTTCTGCACTGTGCGGACTGCGCTTGTGGCTAAGGGATGCTAAGGGTGTTTGCGATGCCCGAAGCCCCTCAACCTTCAAGCTATCAAATCCCAAGCCCCGAGGCAGAAGCGTGTTTGTCTCTCCATCCATTGTCAGCCCAGAGTCGTTTTAAGCCTGTTCAGTCAACTGCGGTAGTGCAAGGCTCTCACGGCTGCTGTCGCATTCTCAGTGACAAGAGCCGGACGCCAAACAAACGTGCAGGATCAGGACTGCGTCGCCGATCCCGGCACCCCCAAAATGCTTGAAAGCTGCAGCACAAGGCTTGGTTTAGTCTCAGTGGCGAGAGCCGCCAAGGAGCAATCGAGTACGGCACGGCTTAATGCAGCTTAGTCTGATCTCGTACTCGTGCTCGGGACAGAAACGGCCTGACATGGCCTGACCGTTGGATGACCCTGTCAGCATCTCCAAGGCCATGGCGGTCCAAAGCACCCAAACCCACTTTTTCAACAGCGAGCATCAGAAGCATGAACAGGTCTTGTTGGGATCTTTTTCGGGCCCGAAGTCGATGCAGAAACTTCCAGAATCCACAGGCCGTGGAGTGGGACGAGTCGTTGTCAAATTTCCGTAATGCTTGAAAGCACTAGCTGACAACTTGGTATTTGGGCGGCTGGGCCCAATATAGCCGACTTGGGATGGGATGAGATGCAAAGAGGGCTGGTTTTTGTCGGGCCGTGGCACAGTCACAGTCGCTTGCACGATTACGACGATTATGATGTGCTCGATTGCTTCGAACAAGTTTCTCCTGCGCATCAGGCTCTTCGTCCTGCACGCTGCCCTAGGGCCCCTAAAGACTAGACACCCACTACACTAAACCTGAAACCTGAAAAATCCCAAACTCGAATATCAGCGCAGATCTCTCCCAGGTGGAGGGCATCCTCCGCTCCCTGGAAGATGTCGCCCTCACGGACCTCCAGCTTCGTTGTTTGCATGTTGCTTCATGCTGCTGGGTTTGGGGTTCAAAAATGGCTCATTGAGCCGTTTTGGCTCAAGCCTGGCTGCGAGACCGTAATTGGTATTTGCAATCTCTGTCCCTCCTCCTGGAGGTCAAGCTGTCCTCCTGCATTAAATGTTCACGACGTGTGGGTGTTTAGAGAAACTTGTATATGCCCACTTGCCGCTTGCTATGTACAATATTCACAACCGCGGGAAAGGTGATGAATGCTTGACGCCAGCGCCGGCTGGCAAGTGATAGAAAGCTTGTCTCTCACAGGCCCCAGGGGGCAGACAAACGATGCTGGCAAGACGATGGCAACCACTGGTGTGTGAACACGGTTTGCGGGGGCCACAAGAGTGCTTGCGTGATCTCAGGAAGTCGATGAGCGCCTGGAGACAGCTCACCTTGTGCAGTGTGTCGGTTCAGACTGAGAGGCAACCACTCAGGGTTGCGAGCAGATCATGCATATGTCACAGAAAAAGTTGCGGGATTCTGCCAGCCCAAGGAGATGCGCAGTCGCCAAAGATGGCTTAAGCGCTTGCCAAGCACAGGGGGTCTCCACTACAGCGAGTGCCATAACTCATCCTGCACATGCTGCTGCGAGGACATCGTCTCATGCGTGCCCTTCTCGACTCCTCGTAGTAGTGCCTTCGACATGCCGTTTGTACGATCCAATCTCAACAGCAGCTCGCATGCTGGTCTGCGTTGTGATCTCGAAACGCCTCCTCTTTTCTGAACAGAGGCACAGAACATCACAGAACACAGGAGCAAGAATGCAACTCACTCACTCGCTCACTCACTCACTCACTCACTCGCTCACTCACTCACACACACTCACACTCACACTCGCACTCGCAGTCACACTCACACTAACACTAGCACTATCACAAACACAACATGAACACGAACACCAACACCAATACTAGCACTAGCACTAACACTACAACTCGCACTCTCACTCTCCCTCTCCCTCTGACTCTCCCTCTCCCTTTCACTTGAGAACTCACGCTCTCACTCTCTCGCCCTCTCGCTCTCTCGCTCTCTTGCTCTCTTGCTCTCTCGCTGTGTCGCTCTCTCGCGCTCTCACACTCACCAAGAATGCAACCGGCATGAAAGATGGAAACGCGGCTCTTGACAGGCTGCTCGTGATTTCGCAATGTCACATCTTTCGGCTATCCGTACGTCTCGAAATTGACGTGGTTGAAGCTTGTACCACCAGAGAGGTCGCGACTTGCGCAGGCCCATCAGGGCCTGCATGCATGCTGCTGCGACAAGTGCCGACGGAAACGAGTCTAGAAATTGTTAAGGTTTGCGGGTTTGGGTGTTCAGCGCCATCTTCTGAGCGAGCTTTGTGAGCAAACCGAATTGGGAGTTCGGAATGCCGAAGCCCTATTCATGGCGACACGGCAGGAGTTGGTAAGTCTCGAGTTAAGTTGGGTTAAGTTGGGGCGTCGAATCTCTATCCCGTCAAGTCTTCACTTCTATTGGGGGCCACATCCTTTGAAACGGCACCGCGGCACAACCCGAAGCCTTGCATCTATCACTCTGGGCTGCAGGATCCGCCTGCAGAAGGTGCCTTGCGAGCAATGGTCGGGCCTGGTCGCATAGAGTTTTTCTTGGCCACGTTGCGGTTGAATGGTGAGTCGTTGGCGATAGTGGGCCAGTCGTGGCACTGCTCTTGCACCGCAGTTCGACATGGTTCAAATGTTTGCAAGCCTCCATGTATGTTGGCAGGACAGAGTTCGGGCTTCAGCAGCACTCAGGAACCGAGGCTACAATACCAGCTACGCTTCATGCAAGCACCCTTTGCCTAGACAGGAGGCGACGTCGAACAGAGGAACAGTTTTCGTCCAACAGCTACTGCTAGTCATGACTACGTCAAACAGCTCGCAATGCAGCATTCGGCTGTCCGCAGCACGTTGAGGGGCTGCGAGGACTTGGGTTGCTGAAGAAGGCAAAGATGCACTTGCCACTTGCTGTTTTCCTTACAAGTCGAAGACTGTGACACGACCTGCTTATGCTCAGTAGTGGAGGCTGCCGAGCATGGTTCTGTGTGCTGGCAGTGATGGGAGCGCAGGCTGTGCAGTGAGGGTGAAAGCAGAAGGTCTAGGAGTCTAGGAACACAGGCATGTTGGAGCAAAATGGCTTCCTACTTCGAGTGAGCAAGTTCCTACATCCCCTCCCGAAAAAGATCAGCAGCTAGACCGCCTCGATCTGCTGCCACGTGGAGCGCCTCCCACGGCAGCAACTGAGTGCCCTGCACCCAGTCCAGTGTTATGCTACTGAGTTTTATGGCCGTGTTCGGGACTTGGGCTTGAGGGTCTTCCGGGTGCAGGGTTTTGGGCTGTCACAGTGGCATACAGTAGCGTATTGGGATCAGAGCCTCAAGGGCTCGGATAAGCGGATGCCTTCGAAGTTGCTGGGTTTGTTCTAAGGCGACGCGGGGCTGGGCTTTGAAGAGGGTCTAAAACTTCTTTCTGTTCTTCGTCACCTTCTGCCTCTCGAGAAACGATATGAATCCGACGGGGCGAGGTGCCCAAAGGGTTTCGGATTCGGGAGCGGGGCGCACCCGGCCCGTACCGGGCAAGTCTGGGTGACCTGGCAGTGCCCCCTTTGCCCCTTTGCCCCCTTTGCCGCATCTCAGATTGCAGCAGCCCCTGCCTCGGGCCCTCGGCCGGGAGTGCAGCGGACAGAGGCCATACAGCTGCTGTGGGTTACGTCCTGAAGTGTCAGATTGGTAGATGTGCGTTCCACGTGGTGTTGGGGCAGGTTTTGGGTTTTGGGCCCAGGGGGGGAGCTTCATTATTGTGGATGTTGCCGGCACGCCCCTTTTGCTTCTCAAGGCCAGCTTGGCCTATGTAACATGTAACAGACCATGGGGTTCTGTGCGGCTCCTGCCTGCCTCTGCTCAACGTCGATGGCCCAGCGTGGCCCCAGTTGCATGTTTCAGTATGTCGGCAAGAAGTGCGCCGTTCACCCTTGGAAATGCCTTATCGTTTCCATCCTGATCTGCCTGGCGTTTGCTGCTGGGTTTACCAATTACACCTCTGAATCTGGGAGCAGAGAACTCTGGGTGGATCAGAATTCTCAGCACATGAAGAATCTCGAGCCTCCCGCAGTCGATTTGAGATACATTTTGTGCTTGATCGACTTTAAGGGGCCTCTCAACTTCAAGGGAGAGAGAGAACCCACCCCCAAAGGCTTCGAGGCTTGGGGTAAAATGGCGATCAGCGCAACCATAGGGCCTGGGATGGGGGGGTTTCGTGCGCCCCACTGTGCAAGTGAGCTGCTGCAGGTCCGTGGAAGGTCTCTTTTGGAGCGGTGGCGAGATGGGTTCAAATTCAAATCTCATCGTAACGGCCAAGAACGGTGGCAACATCCTGGACTTCGACATCTTCACAGAGATATGGAAGGTTGTGGACGACGTCCGAACTTTGGAGTTCATGGACAGTTCTGGTCAGCCAGCGAACTATGCTTTTAGCTGTCAGAGGTCGGACTTAGGCACTTGCCTAATTGGTGGCGTTCCACGGTATTTCCTAACCCGGCCGCTTACGCAAGAAGCCATCCTCGACGGTGTGAATCAGCCGCTTTTTGCGGATGGTAGGCATCTTAACCGGATTAGCCCCACCGCTCTTTGTGATGGTCTGCAACATGATGGGCAGCTTTGTACTTTCTTGTTGCGAAATGCAGCCCAGGCCAGCATTTGCCGAGGACAGTCTTGGAGGTGGGCTGGCTTGAGGGCTAGGGCTTCAGGGTCTAGGGCTAAGGCGAGGGAAGCCCCTGCTTGTACACTGAAAGAATTGCGTCACACTGCGTCACACCCTCATGAGGCATCCAGAGGAACTCAAGTGGACACATTGTTGGTGCTGGAGCGGCTCGGATCGACTGGTACGCCTGGTCCGACGGCTTTCAAGAGGCCGTGGGATGAGGGACGAGCGTGGTTTTTGCTGACTTGCTCACAGGTTGTTTGTGCTGCATCTAGCAAAGGTTCAGAATTGTTAGCCGAAGTTGTTGTGCCATGGTGGTGTGGCAATCTGACTATGTGTGTTTCGGTACTGAGTGAGTCGTCTTCAGCATGTTAAGGGCTGCCTGTGGAGAAGCTTTCAACTTGGGTCAGAATGTCAGAGAACGCATGTGTGCCATGCTGTCCGTGAGACAGGCATGGAAGGCTTACTTTGTGAATGAGAACCATCGCGCCATACAGCGTTACAACCGTGTCAACGTTTATCTGCAGAGCGGCAGCTCCTTCGACGATGAGCTAAATCGTACGGTGACTGCAGACATTCCGCCCCCTGGATGGCAGTACTCAAAAGGCAAAAGGTACAAGGGCAGCACCCGTCTTCCTTTGTTGTTGGACCTTTCCCCGCTTCAAACAGTCGGATTCCGGGATTTCGGATTTCGGGATTGAGAGCTTTACCCGCACGTGATCTTGCTTGGGGCTCTGAGGTTTCACCGAAATCCCGAAAACCCCCACGGCAAGAGAGCTGCACCGTAAGTATGTCACTCGGGGTTAAAGTTCGTTACAACCAACTCGGCGCATCGAATCTGGGAAGGGAGAAGGGACAATCAGTGAATCCACCATATGGCGCACGAGTTTAAGCGACCGTAAAATTTCGGATGAACATGCAGATTCGGCTCGTGGCTGCTACTCGTAGTCCCCTGGATGCTATGAACCTGGTTTGGCATTTATCTCGTTTCATCGAGGCAAGAAGTTTAGGTTTGCATTTTTGGAAAGCGCTGCGCGTTCATTTGGGTTCGTGAACTTCCCGATGCCGGACTTTTGCCGACCGTTTTCTGACTAGGGTTCTCGCTTCTCGGACTTCTGCCCATCCTTTCCCTCCCCTCCCCCTCCTTCACCCTCCCCCCCTCCCCCCCCCCGCCCCCCTACTACCCCACTCCCCCCCCTGCCCCTCCCCCGCCCTATCCCCTTCCCCTCATTGTTCTAAGGCTATTTGTTTCCGCCTTCGTGCTCATGTGACTTGGCTAGGTTGGGCTTTCAAGCACCCCTAAGCCTAGCGACCTGAAGACCATGTATACAGAAGCTACTGTACTTGTGAGCTGCCATTTCGAAACCCCGCAAATGTATTCGGTGGCCTTACGGTAGAGTTGTACAGTCAACCTGTTGGAACCCCAGTGCCAAGGGCGACATTCTGTTCGACTTTCATTGGAAAGCCGTGCAGCTGGACCCAAAGCAGGCGATTGCTGGGATGCTCGGGCAGCAAAGTTCGCTGGGTTGGGTGCAGTGCTCCACCGGCCGGAACAGCGACACTTAAGCCCTCAAGCACAGCAGATGCTTGGAGACTCACCCTCCCGATTCACCGTGTGCATGTGACGGCCGCTACTTACACTTATGAGTCTTCATAAATTGCCAACCCTGAAGGGACTCCACATCACTCCGCACAGAGCAAGCAGGGACTGCTGGGTTGCCTATTGTATGTGAGGTCTCTGTGATCTCATGCTCGTTCTGGTGGCCTGTGTTGGTGGCTTCGGCAGCGCCATGTTGTTCGGAGTGCCCTTCACCGTCCTGACGCAGATCTTGCCCTTCATCTTGGTCGGCATCGGCATCGATGATGCCTTTGTCATTGCCACTGCTTTTGACAGGACGGACGATTCTGCAGACATTCCCGAGCGCGTCGGCCTAGCAATGGAGCGAGTGGGTGTGTCTATCACGCTGACATCGATGACAGATATCGTTGCCTTTCTTCTGGGAGCTACCTGTGTCTTCCCATCGGCTGCCTGCTTCCTTTACTCGGCTTGGAACCAAACAATTTACAGCAGAAAATATCTTCGCCAAACAGCGCATAATCAAGCATAAGCTGGACCTCCTTCAGTACAGGTTCATGAACGGCATAACGTTCATAATTAGTTCTTTTCGCGAAGGCGTCGCTCAGCCAAGGTTCAGTTTTTTTGTTACTATGCTGCGCTGTCTTGCTTCTTCGTCTGGATCTTGCACTGCACTGCTTTCTGTGCCATGCTGTCGCTTGACGCTTCTCGCGCCAAGAAGAACCATCTGGATCTGCTGGCAGCATCGCCGCAATAGTGTCTGAGGGGTTTCGGCGCACAGTGCCTGTGCAGCCGCGCTACTGAAAGAGTCAAGCAACACCAACTTCGACTTGTCCAGCACCTGTATCAGTATCCTCATCGCAAAGCCTACAGTCACCATGGCGACGAACTGCTTTTGCCTGCTGAGGCCTGTGTGCCGGCAGCGTCCTTTTGCTTGCCCCCACCCAAGACGGCCGACTCGGCAATACCCAGAACGTTTCTGTCGAGGCAGCTGGGGCAAGAGATTTCTTCAACAGTGCACCATGCGCTAGCAGTGACTAGCAGACGAAATGGATATGATACCCATCGTAATACCCTCACGCGCACACAAGCTTCTAGGGGGAATGTCGCTTTGTTTAAGAGCATCGCGATGCGTCAGTCCAGGGAGTTAAGAGGCTTGCACCTTCTGGCAGACGAGGGGGCAATGGTTTTGGGCCCCTGTGAGACTGATCCAAGAAACGGCTTGCAGTTGCAAGGAGCCAAGAGCTGCCAAGCGCACAAAGCAAATGGCAGCAGATTTGAGGATCATT